AATTTCGATTTCGTAGGCTATACGATAAAATTGGTGGCCAATGGCACCTCAACAAAAAAATTTGATGGTGACTTTTAATTTTTTTGTCTAGTGATTGAATCTCTAAAGCGACACGTTATGACAACAATTTTTAAAGTCATTAAACCTTAGATTAAAGAAGCTATTTTCAAGATTAGATTTTGAAAGAATGACTTTTTATTTGAGATTTTGAGATAATGGCACCTTAATGAAAAAAAATTGGTAATGACTTTTAATTTTTTTTGTTTAGTGATTGAATCTCTGAAGTAATACGTTATGAGAATGATTTTTAAAATTGTTAAGTCTTAAATTAAATAAGCTCTTTTCAAGATTAGATTTTGAGAGAATGACCTTTTATTTGAGAAGTTTTAGATCTATCCATGAATTTTTTATGAATTTTTAAACTTTTGCAAAAGCCTCGATGTGAATCTTGAAACCTTCAATATAAATCTCGAAAACCTTCGATTTAAATCTAAAAACCCTCGATGGGAATCTCAAAACCTCTTATGTGAATCTTTGATTTTTATTTGTAAATCTCTTCAACTGCGAATATTTAATTTGTAAGATGTGAATCTCTTAAAATTTTCAAATAAAATTTTTACTTTTAAGATTTAAATCTCTTCAATGTAAATCTTTGGTTTTTAAAATACGAATCTCTTAAAACTTTTAAATGTGAATTTTTTCAAATGCAAATCATATGAATCTCTTCAAATATAAATTTTTAATTTTTAAGGTGTAAATCTTTAAAATTTTGTAAATGTGAATTTTTTATATTTAAGATACGAATCTCTTCAAATGTGAAATTTTGACTTTTAATTTGTAAATGCCTAAACTTTTTCAAATGAATTTTTTATTTTTAAGATATAAATGTTTTAAAGTTTTTGAATTTGAATCTTTGATTTCTTAGATGTGAATCTTTAAAGATTTTTTCGAATGCAAATTTTTTATTTTTAAATGTGAATCTCAATTCTTTTAGCTTTTGTATTTTTAGATGAAAATATCTAAATAGTTATTTTCTTCATATGAAAATTTTATAAAAAAATAAAAATAAAAAATAAAAAACAACAAAAATTGTAAAAAAAATCAACAAAAAAAATAGAAAACATTGAGTTTGAATTGTTGATTCATACAAAATTATTATCTTTGTCTTTATCTATTTTTATTCTCAAAAATATGGAAAAAGAGACAAATATAGATAATTTTGTTGGGACAAATTTTAAATATATCCAATTTAAATCCATTTGAACATTTTAATACTTTATTTTAAATTAATTTTTATTGGATCATTTTGCATAGGTCCAATTCAAACCAAGTTGGGTCATAAAGGCTTGATAGCCCAAAGTCCGATGCTGTAGGCCATGTCCAATTTTAAGATCCAAAGTCATTTTATTAACCATAAACTAAGCACCTAAATAAAAAATGGTAATTAATAAAATTAAAATGAAAAATCCACAAAAAAAGAAAGAAAATGCAAAAAAAATTGGGATAGTGTCATGCGCGGCACCTTTGACGAGGGCGGCGGGGCAACTTTTTTCATGCTACCTTCCTACTGTTTCCCTTTCCCCAGAAAAAAAGCTTCTTCGTGACCACCTTCTCAACTATGGAGTTAATCTTTCCCTGCAAGTAATTAAGTCAAAACTAAAATGGGAAAGATAAGAACTCCTAACAACCATAAATCTAACAAATTTTTTTTTTTTTGAAACACAACACGACAGGATCCTGTAAAACCGTCCCTGGTAGCAGGAAATTCGATAGGCTTTTTGGTTGCCATTGATGCCTATAATCCATGAAATTTCTATCATGACGTGTTAATCCAAAAACTTAATTATTAAATATAAAAATTTAGAATTATAAAAATATAAAAGGTAATCATCAATTTTTTAAAAAAAGTATAATTGATAAGTTTAGAATTTATTAAAAAATAATTTTAGTTTATGAAAATAAAATTAAGTTCGAAAGTAAGTTATGAGTAAAATAAGATTAATATCTCACAATGCTCATAAAATTTAGTATCAATTAATCATGTACTATATATAGTTTTAGATAAAAATGATTTTATTTAAGATTTAATAATAATTTTTATTTTTAGAAAAGAAAATTAATTAAAAATCTTTATTTAAGAATATTATAAAAATATTTAGATTAAAGAAATATTTTATAATTCTCCAACATTTAAGTAGAATTTAAAAATAACTCTTTTGGTTGAAATTCACCACAAAAATTTTTTTTTGAGTAAAAATAATATTCTTTACAAATAATAATTATTGGTGATTTCAAATATTTAGATAGAGTATCAAAAATTATCTTTCTCAAAATATTATTTTAATTTTATTTTTTATTTGAAATTAATTTTTTGAAAAGTCCCTTTTTATGCAGAAAACAAAGAATGCTATGATTAATCATAAATTTAAACATAGAATTTTATCTGAAATAATCTAATATCATTAAATCTGATTTTATGAAATGATAAAATAAAGATCAAAATTGATAATTTAAAATGAATCTATTGTTAGGCTTGAAAAAACCCAATGAAACGCTCAACTGAAGGCCTGTATACAACTCGAAAAAGCCTAGTGAATAGCTCATCTTTAAGGCTTGTTTACAAACCAAAAAAATGCCCGATAGATGGCCCTTTAAAAAAAAAAAAGGCCAAAGCAAAGCTCAATGGATGACGCATTTTAAAGTCCCATTTAGAAGTCTAAATAGGACCCATCATGGGACTTATTTTTAGGCCCAATTTAAAAAAAAAAAAATCCTGGTACAAGCATAAAAACTTGCAGAGGAGAAGACAAAAGTTGGTGGTTTTTTGGTACAGGTAGTGGAGGGGAGAGGCTACTGGTTTGGGGTTTAAGTACGCGGGGGTAGAAAAAAATGAAGAAAAAAAGGAAGAAAAAAATAAGAAGGAAAGAGGAAGGTCCGAGAGCTAAGAAAAAGGCGAAAAGAAAAGGCTTTAGGAGGGAGTAGCTGAAAGAGAGTGCTGAAGGAGAGTGCTGAAGGAGGGTGCTAAAGGAGGGCGCTGCTGGTTTTTTTTTTTTTTATTGGGAAAAAAGAGAGGCCAAAAAGAAAACGCAAAAAAAAGAGGGGCTTGAAAAAGGGAGCTGATAGTCAAGAAGAGAGCTTGGAGAAGAAAAGAAGATCTAAAATTATTAATAAGTATATACTTTGACAAATCTGCTCTTTTTTTCAATAAGAACACCAGTGCAGAACATAGGGCAGAGATTCAAGGCATTTTTGGTATTGATGCCACAACCAGCCTTGAAAAATATTTGGGTTTGCCGACTATGGTGGGGAAAGCCAGATTTAGTGCTTTTCGAGAAATCAAGAACAAAGTTAGAGCAAAGATTAATGCATGGGGTAATAAGTGCCTGTCTACTTACGGAGGCAAGGCTATCTTTGTCAAGGCAGTGCTTTTCCCTGTTATGCGATGAACTGCTTTATGTTGCCAAAAGATGTGTGTAGAGGAATCAACAGCATAATTGGTGGGTTTTGGTGGAAACAAGGAGGTGGAACGAAGGGAATCTTTTGGTTAAAATGGGGCGACCTATGTCAATCTAGTAATGCTGGGTAAGTAGAGCTGGAGACTCCAAACCCAGTTGACAAAGGTGGTAACACAGGTTCTGGAAGCCAAATATTTCCCTGAGTGTGACTACGTGCATGCAAAATTAGGTACTTCTCCATCTGTTACCTAGAGAAGTCTATGGGTCGCAAGAGAGTTGGTGGACAAGGGACTTAGGTGGCATGTGGGAAATGGGAAAAAAATCAGAATCTAGTAGGACAAATGGATCCCAACTTCCCCAAATTTCAAACCACGAGAGACTGAAGGAGAAGCAGACTTTGATAGTAGAGTGGCAAAACTCATAAACCTTGGGTTAAGAACCTCGAAACAAGATATCATCTCCAACATGTTCAGTGATGAGGACGCACAGGCCATAAGTGCATTACCTATTAATAGTGTAGGTTCCGGTGACACACATGTTTGGCACTATGACTACTCGGAACTATATGGTAAGGAGTGGTTACAAACTCTTATGTGCTAAGGAGGAAACTGAGACTTCGAACTCAGGCCCACGTGATAATGAAAAATGGTGGTTTGTAGAGAAAAATATGGGATGCAAAAGTGCCAAATAAAATTAAAGTGATGGCCTGGCGTAGTTTCAACGGAATTCTACCTACTAAGTTGAATCTCTCTAAGAGAGGATTGGACTTGGAAATTAAGCATGTTTTCGGTACGGGACAGGGGAAGAAACGATTTTTCATGCACTTAGAACCTGCCCAAAGGTAGCCAGAAATTTGGGAAGCAAAACAACTGGAGCAATATGAGGGAAAACAACTGGTCTGATGTGAAGGAATGGTTTAAACACAACTTCGAGGAGAAAACATAGGACCTATTACAGCTTTTCATGGTTACAGTTTGGGGTATATGGGGAGAGAGGAATAACGTACTGCATGGGAAGAAGGATAGACGTACACACGAGCTGGTGTTTTTTATTAAAAAATACGTTGAGGAGTGTAATGCAGCTCAGTTACGAACGAATAGAACCAGTGTTGTTCCTCGTAGCTGGACAACACCAAGCATAGGTTGGGTAAAAGTAAACTTCGATGGAGCCCATGACTGCTAGCAAAACAAAGGTGGGGCGGGAGCTGTGATAAAAGACTCCACGGGTGCGGTTCTGGGGGCTTTATCCACATGCATTTTATCTGTTATGGATCCTTTTCAAGTGAAGGAAGGGGGCAGTAACAAAACTGAAGCTTGTTTCAGAGATGGGGTATAGTCGTTTGATACTGGAGGGCGATAACCTGACTGTAATTAGGAAGCTGAAGGCCAGGCAGCCAGACCTCTCACCGATTGGCTTATTAATAAAGAAGGAAGTACTGCTGTGAATGTTCATAAAGATGAGAATAAGATGGCACACAACCTAGCAAGATATGGCCTCTACTTAACAGAAGAACGAACTTGGACGAACGATTATCCCAGTTTTATTGTACCCTACCTTCGGTCAGAGTGTAATGATTTCCTTGATCACTCGACTGTATTGAAATAGTTTAAACGAAGTAGACCGCTTTATTTAAAAAAAAAAAAAACTCTTATATTGCCGCAATAAATTGCAATCATTCAACAATAAATTACACAAAAAATATAGTTTGCATAAAATCTAGCAACTCTTGAAGGTCCAAGTCTCCACTCAATCTAATCTACAATTCACTAGGATTGCTGATGACCTTTTCCGCGAGTAAAAGGACCGCGACCTCTATGATATGGTTTTTTTCCACGACTTGATGATGCACCCATGCTAAAATTCTGGGATGTTTCAGGGTTGCCTTGAACACCTTTAGGTTGCAAATTACAGTTCCCATCTATTCTTGGTCCATTTGTCAAGATACCTTGCAATGCATTGAGTAACTGTTGGCCCTGCATGCCCGTTCCAAATGTGGTTTGGCTAATACCATTTTGACCTGCAATCCCCAGCCAAGGTGCACAGGTTGGTCTAGCAAATAAACTTGATTGGCCACCAGGTAAGATCGTATTAGGAAGTGTACTCAAACTAGGATCAAACTGCTGCTGCTGATATGGCATCATGGTGGGCATAGACATTGCCGGGGTTGGCAAAGGAATTGGCTGCTGTTGATAATTCTGTGAGAGCAATGGCAAACCTTCTGCAGAAAACTTGTTGGGAAAAATAGCATTTTGTTGCTGCTGGCCTGGCATCCCATTAGTCCAAGCTCCATTGGAATATGTAATAATACCAGAAGACTGTGGCATGACTGAAAATGGAGAAACAAAGCCAGATCCACCAATAAAATTTTGTTCTCCTACGACAGAAGATGAAAAATTTTGATTACCCAAAGATGCTGAAACTGTGGAGAAGTTATGTTGATTCTTATTAGGTGGAAGCTGACCCCCTAATGTTGATGTTTGCTGGGCTGAGTTCCTATCATTTTTCCACACCCTATTCCTACTTTTAACTTTCTTTTTATTGCTTTTCCAGTTCCCCACTTTCTGGTCATTCATGCCTCTCTTTGTCATCTTTTGCATCCTCTTGTACTCAGCCTCCTTTTCATCATCTGAAAACTCAGCATCATCTGACAACTCCTCATCATTCTCACCAGATGCATCATATCCTTTCTTACGAAGATTCTTGTCATTAAGAACATGACTAGCAAATTCTGGGACAAAAGAGATCGAAGTGCCTTCATGGATACCAGCAGGGACCTCACTCTCTGAATTGTATCGTACTATATAGTAGGGGTTTTTTACAGGTCCAAAGATTTCGTCCACAAATCCCAGTGGTGATCCGTCTATGGTTATCCAGAGAATAGAACCTTCATTCAGAGGGTTGTGCTGCTTTCTTCCTTCAACAACAACTTTGGTTCCAATCATCTGTAATAGTGTAAGGAACATTATTAGACTGACCTAGCTAGTATCATTTACATCTTTAAGTCAATATACAGCTGATAAAAAATCACCAATCTTTATCCAAAAAAAAAATACCAAGCTCCTAAAACATGGGTTTATAAGTGTAACAAAATTTGAGCAAAACTTTAAGGCTTGGCCTTTGTATTTTCTAATAGAGGCTCTGATTTGAGCTTACCGACAAAACGATTCCAACAGGTAGCATCTGGTGATGGGGTTGCAGTGTAACATCCAATGGTGGAACAGGGGGGAGAACCTGCCAAATTTAGCAACTTTTATTCAGAACTACTATTCAATAACAATAACTCCAGCATTATAACATGCCAATAGTTTAACTTCAGCGATGCCTATTTTAGTCATGCTGTTCAAAACTACAGAGAGCATACAAAAGAAGTCTAGATATAGACTTCCATGGTCAACAAGTGAGGATTAGAGTGTGATAGAGAAATGCCTGATCTCTATCAAGCAAGGATCAAAATGGAATAAAGTTCAATGGTTATACACAACTACTATTTTTCCAGTTTTGATGAATTAAGAATATACCGCCAGAGTTAACTAAACAAGGCCCCAAAGGTACACAACGCCAATGTAAGATTACCACATGAAAATCTTTCAGTCAAAACATGCCAAAAGATCTTTGAACAAGAAAAAGAGTTCAATCAGAAAAAATAAAAGGAAATGGTTTAAAAAGAAAATGAGACTACAAAATAATTACCTCTCATCATAGTCTACCCAACAAACAAATTGCAGATTGCAGCTAAGAAATATAAAACAGAACAAACAGTGGAGAAAATGCAGGCAACAAAACACATTCAGCAGAATTAAGAATAATTGAATTGAAAGTGGAGAATATCTGAGTTAACATGTTATTGAGATGCAACAAAACCTACAAATTTGCTTTCCTGAAACATTAGAAAATATAGTAGCACAAAAAGGACTTCTAAAAAAAAAATCATCAAAGGCACAGTTTGTTACCTCAAGTTCATTCTTAGACCTGATAGGACCTCTCACAGCACCAACATCCTCCTCATCATCATCTACCTCATCAAATTCAATACCATATGCACTGAGGATTTCCTCCGTTTCATCCTCCTCTTCATCATCACTAATTCCACCAACAATTATCTCTCCATCAATACCTCCTATCTCACCTTCTTCAAGTTCATCTGCACCATACACCTCCCTTTCGATCTCCAACTTAAGTTTTTCTTTATTCTCTTCCTCTTGCTCCTCCTCCTCCTCCTCCTCCTCATCATCATCATCATCATCATCATCATCATCATCATTGCTACTACTAGAAGGTGACAATGAAGATGAACTTTCACTCTCAGACTCCTCTGAACTACTACTCCCGCTCTCTAATCCATCAACCAAACTAACCTTCCCAATCTCTTCCTCAATAGATGAACTCAGTTTGCCTTCAGGTTTTGATTCCTCTTCTTCCACCTTCACTATACTTCCTGACTTACCTCCAACCAGTGCAGACCCACAAACAATTGGCTTGAACCAATCAACATTTAGCTCAGAACCACCAACACTTGGGTCACCAAGATGGGTTTTCTCAAATTTATCTTCTTTACCAATCTCCATACTGTTCTCAATGCTCCCCAAATTCACTCTTCTAAACCAATCCTATCTAAATTTGGGTTATCTTCAAACCACTCTTTTATAGAATCAAAATCAAGAAAGAAATCGAGAATGGATAAATCGCTGGTTTTAGGGTCAATAAAGTTGATAGGGTCTTTTAAAATTTGGTTCACCATAATCCAATCTAAGCCACAAGAATCATGAGAGCAACATCACGATCATTAGAGTGCCTGAAATTTGGTACAAAATTCACTACTTTAGTTTAAAATGAAAAAGGAAATGACAGCAAGAACTGTAAAATGCAATGAGGCCAAGTCTCTAAGCAAGAATTTAAATCAATGCATCCAAAATCTCTACTTCCTTATTTTATTTAGCTGAAATGGCAGCACTGTCCTTCAACTTAGCATTATTTTTAATTTTTTCATGGAGTATCTTTGTTATTTTAGCTGCCATTGAGAAATAATTTATCCAATTCATGCAACAAACTAGCGCTACCATCTCTAGCATTAGTTGTTGCTTTAATCTTAGCAAGAGTTATTCAGTTTAACTAATCGGAGTCTTTGGGCATAATAAATCAAACAAATTAAGCTTTTCCTAAAACCTTAGCGAATCAAAGGCTTTTGCTGCTTCGATTTCTTCATCTACAGCTGAGCATCCAGGAGCATGTTCGTTCGTTGAAACTCCAATTGCAATTTCTTTACCTCCAAAAAAGAGAAATCAAATAAATTTCCTGCAAAAAATAGTATGTTATTTTCCATGAAAAATATAAGAGAATTATTTTTAACATAAAACTAAAAAAATTTTAACAGATCCTATATCCATGATTTTCTGTATTTGAATGGCGAATGGAGAGAGACAGAAGAATGAATAGAGGAAAAGGGAGAAAGAGGGGAGAGTTTCAAGTTTCCGCCGGCAACGACCAAACAGGAAAGAGAAAAGAGGAAGCAGAAAGAAAAGTAAGAAAAGAATCAATAAACGAACGAAGAAAAAGGAAAGTAAGAGGGAAGGGAACCAGAACTGCCGGCGATAGCGTGACCGGACTGGGAGACAGGGAGAACAAAGAGCAGAATAGGCGGCCTTTTTTTTTTTTTTTTTTTTTAAGACAGAATAAATGAAAAACAAGGGTGGGGTTAGGGTTTAGTTTAGGATAGTCTATTTGACCAAAATTACATAGCTTCGACATTGAGGAAAATTTTAAATAAAAAATAGGAGGTGTTTGGCTGCATATGTTTGTTTGGTGTATCGAGTGTAAACGAGTTTTGGACGGGTGAATATATTTGATTTTTGTTTGTTTATATTTATTTATTAAATTTAATATATAATAATATTTTTATATTTATTTATTAAACAAATAGAATATGAATAGATATTTATTTGCTTTGTTTATATTCAAGAATAATATTTTTATTATCTATTAGATACTAAATAATTAATTTTTATATTTTTTAATGTGCGTTTGATAAAAATTAGATTTTTTTAAAATAATTAAAAACATAAAAATCAAATATATTTATTTACCCACTTCGTCGCCTTACCAAATATTTTAATTTTATGGTTAGATTTATTTTTTTTAAGAAAATCCTATTTTGTATGAACATTTTTATCTCTTTCCTAAGTCAAGTTTATGTTAAAAACATCATTTGACGTTTTTTTTTTACTTTCTTATAATATTGCTCCATGAATTTCAAGAATAATGTTTGGTTTGATTTGTTTATAGTGAAATTCTTTTAAATTTGACATTGATATTTTGAATATTTTATTAAATTAATATTTTATAAAAATACATTTGAAAATGATAAGAGTATTTTATAGTTTAAAAGATAAAATTATTTTTTTATTATAAAGAGTGATTTAGTAGATCGAATAAGTATTTTTTGTTATTCGAATCAAGTTGATGTAACAAGTCGATATGATTTTTCGAAGCTTATCTCGATTTAGCCAACACAAACAGCTCACCTGACATCATGTGAAAAAGATGATGTGTCACTCGAATATTGGGAGTCAATGTGCCAAGTCAACTTGGGTTGTGCCACGTCAACCAAAATATTGACTTTGTAGGTCAAGTCATTTAGACTTAACCACATCTTCTTTCAAGTATAAATACCCTTTCTCACTCTCGGTAAAATAGATTACCAATTCTTCTTATTCTCTCATTTTTCCTTTTTGCTTATTTGTTTTCTCTATCTTTTTTTCAATCATTGACTTGAGTATTGAAACACAAACATTAAAGACCAATCTAGTTGTTACATCTAATCAATTTTTGACCTTATGATTTCAAGTTGTTACCCTTCAGTTTGGATGCAGCACAAATATTTTGAAGTGCTAGGCAAGGGGATTTTTTGCTAAGTTCAAAATGAAATAATTGCAAAAAGTAATAGAAGAAGGAGATAATCTTCTGGTAGCTAAAACCTCAAACATTCAGTATAGCTAACCCAACCAAAACCCACATTGAGCTATTAGAGCAGTTAAAAGCTTCAAATCAACAAGTTCAAAATTTAAAAAGCTCCTCTAAAACTTGGCTTCGCCTCAGCCATAAAAAAAACCAACAATAACCCAAAGAAATTCCACAACCCAAAAAAAATAATCTACAAACACAATGAAGTCAAATTCTTAGTTCCTGAAAAAGAAGAAACCCATAAAAGCTACCAACCAATAAATAGCCTCCAAAATCCATATATCTCAAAAGACCAAGCCAACCTTTCTCAAACTAGTAGTCATTAAGGAATTAAAAGATCTAATGGAAAAAATGGAAAGAGAAATGAAAAGTAAAACTTTCATATTCACAGGAGAGTTTAAATTCCTGAAAACTTTACCTTTCACTAAAAAGATTAACCAAGCCTTACCTCCACCTAATTTCAAGATGCCAACCATTGAAGCTTGAGATGGTACATCTAACCTTTTTGATCACCTAGAATTGTTTAAGACTAACATAATGATATGAGAAGTAGATGCTCAAAAGTGTTGCCCAAGCTTGGTATTCCAACCTTGAACCAAAGTTAATAAGCTCTTCAAAAAGGCCAATCACGTATTTCTCAATCATTTCATCAATAGGCAACATATTAAGAAAACCACTATAAGCTGAATGATTGTCAAGCAATAACTAAGAGAAACTCTTTAAAAGTATGTAATGCATTTTAACATAGATGCTCTTCAAGTTAAAGACTTAAAAAAGACATTGGTTATGACTTCCCTAACAAAACGGCTAAATCATAAAAGTTCTACTTAAAAATCTCTACTTCGATAAAATCCTTTAAAACTCCCACTAAACTACTTCAAATAGTAGAAAATATATAAATGTTAAGTAAACGATGAGGATTTGAAATGATAAAGGTGAAGGAAGAACTTCGTCTTATCTCAATAGAAAAAAGAGTAGAGAGGTCGAGCACCTCCTAAAAGGGAAGTAATTTTACATTGTTAGGTACTCTAAGGCCAAGAGTGCAAATAAAAAATATGATAATTATACTGCACTAAATACCTTTTAAGAAAAGATTCTAATGCAAATTAAAAAAAACCTTCAGTTGAGGTAACTGAAGCATATGAAGCTAAATATTAAGAGAGACAAAAACAAGATGTGTGCTTTCCATCGTGACCATATCCATACGATTGAAAAATACATTAATTTGATGAATGAGATTAAGAACTTGATAAAAAAAGGTCGGTTAAACAATTTTGTTAAGAATAAAAAATATAGCTAGAATAAAAGAAACTTTTAGAGATGAGAGAAAAGAGAGCCATAAAGAAAAAACTACAAACAATTGCCAAAATGGCTCAAAGAAAAGACTATAATAACTACCAACTTGGTTATGGTAAAGGTAAAACCATTGACAAGCCCAACCAGAGAGATGAACAGAGGAATAAGTTTGATAATTGACCTATTGTCAAAACTATAAATATGATAACTAGTGGGATCTTAGCTACAACCAAGAAAAAATTTGATCAAAAAACTGTAATGTCAATATAACCAGTAGTTAAAAAGCTAAAATACTAAAAGATAAGCAGCCATTTTTTAGCTCAGAGGACCTAAAGGATATCTAATTCATATATGACATTGCAATCATGATTAGCATGGTGGTGTACAACTATATAGTAAAAAAGATACTCTTTGACAATGAAAACTTAATTGTCATCTTATACTATTTCACCATGAAGAAGATGGGAAGGTCATCCCAAAAGGAGACGTGTTCTTTAAAAAAGTTAAAGTCTTAAGAATAGATGACTAAGGTGAAAAACTGGCACTATATTTTAAGATCGATTGCTTGCTTCATAAGTAAAAACATAACAATGTAATTCTCTCAACAATTTTATCAATATCCTATTTGGATAAAACATTAACTAAGAACAATTTAAAAATAACGCTTTGATGCAATTATGATCTCATAATTACAATTTCATTATAATTTGATTGTGAAGCATATTTATTCCTAAGACTTTATCTATAAAAAGTAAGTAATATTAAATATATGTTTATACAAACTTATAGATAAAGAATGCCTTAAATAATAATAGTATTATTTAATATGATATGTATCTCATATACAATTTGATTGGTCATAAGGCATACATCAACACAAATGTTTTCTAATTTATTCTATTTATAGAAAATTTATTCGATGGTTATTCCTTTTAAATTATGTTGATTCAATCAACCAGTGTGTCATTTCATTAAGAACACACTTTTTTTAATGGTAATAGTTGCCATTTGTAACTTTTAACTAGTGAAAGATTGTTCTTGAATCATTATAATTAAAAAAATAGAAACTAGAACTTTTTAGCATAAAGCATGATTTTTCGTGCTAAGGTAGTCAACTTCTTTACCAGGATAGTCTACTTCCCCTTTGTATTTCAACCTCTAAAATGCTTTGTAATATAGGGTAATTGACTACTTTTTTTTAGGCATTTGAATGCATTAATTTCTATAATAGAATGCAACTTAGCTCAAAGTAGTCAACTTTCTTATGTATTTTTGTAATAAAATGCTTTTAACACAGCACTCGACTACCTATGATAAAGTGTTCGAATTACACTTGATAAAAGTTTTTTAAATCATTTCTTTCATGTTTTAAATTATCCCTATGCTAAATTTATGCTTTTAGAGTTAAATTTAAGTATTATCAATTTTCATTTTTCAATTTTCTTTCACTATTTAAAAAAAATTCAACAAATACTACTTGTTTTGCTTCAAGGTACGTATATGTTGCCGATGGGGAGTTTATGCCTCAAATTTTCAAACCTTTATTCATATGCATTAGGTTAATATAGCTTTATTAACCTATTCTTTTTGCAATATTTGGTATAACAATACATTTACTTACGATTGTTTTGAGCATACTTTTAAGGATTTCAACTATTGAACCAATATATCAAAGTGAGTGCTTGAATTAGGCCAGTATCTCACCTTTATAATTAATAAAAACACTTCAATTACCTGACGAAAAACTTCTAAGCTCATTAATTATTTAAGAAAGAACTAATCAGATGGTTTGTTACTAAAATAGCAATGGACAACAGAAAAGGTAACGATTTAAAAAAATAATAATAAATCAAATCTCAGGGTAGTTAAGTGTTACATTTTAAACCTCGTGAGTCCCTCAAACTACATGACATCTCCATAATCAATCCAACGACATTAAACAAATATAGCTAGTGAGTGCCTGAATTAAGCTAGTTTCCCATCTCTATAATTAGAAGAAGCACTTCAATTACCTGATGAAAAACTTCTAAGCTCATCAATTATTTAAGAAAGAACTAATCAAATGGTTTGTTACCAAAATAGCAATGGACAACAACAAAGGTAACGGTTTTAAGAAAAAATAATAAATCAAATCTCATGGTAGTTAAGTGTTAGATTTTAAACCTCGTAAGTCCCTTAAACTACATGATGTTTTTGCTGTAATTTACCTAAAATAAAATATTATTTTTAACTATAACTTTAAAAAAGTTATTTTAAAATATTTTTCTTTTTCACGTTATTAGTAATATTTATATATTTTTACAAATTTAATGATACTTATATGACATCAAATTTTCGTAGTCATAATTTCATTTATAATTAATTTAATATATGTCACTTCAAATTTTATAGTCAAAGTTTCTTTCTAAAAATATTTATCAAAATGAT